AAACTAGATGAATTTATATTTAAAAGTTAAAATAATTAGTATACCTTTAATTTTATTAAATCAAATCTTACCTACCATAATTATTTCTTAATTTACGTAAGAAATCAATTAGTTTTCATTTAATTTTATTTAATCAAATTTAATCATAATAAACTAAATTTAAACAAAATTAAAAAAAAAATTAAAATGATTTTTTGGTTCTTCTTCCTCGACCTTCTACCCTTCCCCTAACTCTCTCTCCCTCCGTATCCTCCTCTCCTTCACCTCCATCCTTCTCTGTTTTCTTCTTTCTTTAGATTTAACGCAAATCTTAGGGAATAGAGGCCCTTAATTCAAAGATTTAATAAAGGAAGTTATAAGACCCCACCGTTTGGGACCAGTGTTTACTAGTACAGCTGCAGATGAATGAAGAATTGTGGCATTAAAGTTACATGTATTTATGGTTATCATAGGACACTGGACAAATATATGAGAAGAACAGGAACCAGGTGTTAGGTTCTCTTTGTATTTTGATGATGGTTTAAAACCATGATTCAAAAGAATTTAATTTATTTTTGTGTTAAGTGTGCAGGAAAGTTAATTTAAGGATTCTAATCTTTCCTCACAATTAGAATTGAATTATATCCTCCTTATTCAAAGTTCTGGATTCGAACCAATTATATTTGATTCGAACCAATCTCGAACTTTTTTTTTTCGAAAATAATTCGAACCAATATTTCTGACTTCGAAGCAAAAATTCTGGAATGTTAAATTTTGACAGCTCAACTATCTGTTTATTCTTAATGGGTCATAGGGTATCTAAATGTCTTAGCACTTTCCAAGACAAGTCAGAAGAATAAGGTGGAACCTAATTGGGGCAATTGTGAGGTGGTTTTGAAAGGCTAAAAGGGCTTTAATTGCAAGGCTCCTAACCAACTATTAAAAGGACATCAAAAATCAGATCTATATGAAGGAAGAATGACGAACTGCTCCAGCAAAACAGAAAAACAGAGTTTGTTTTTGAAAGTGTTCTGGATCTCCTTCTTCTTCTCTTCTTGTGAGCTTTTGGGTTAATTGTCTTACAACGGTTTTGTATTCTTCTTGGATTGAGATAATTCTTGAAGGGGTTGAGTGAGTTGAGATTCACTTGTGAGGGTTTAATCTTGCACCTGCAAGCAAGAGTTTGTTCCGGTTTAATTTTACACCCATAAGCAAGAGATTTCTAGTGAATTGAACTCTCGAGCAAGGAGGCTTGGGGAGTAGACGTACTCCGAGTTGGAGGAACCACTATAAATCACGGCTTGATATTCTCTTCCCTTTTTTTTTTTATTTTTCTGCACTTTATTTGCAAGATTGCAGTTGATTTCTATTTTATTTTGCACAACAGATTATACATATATATTGAAAACTTCATTCACGTTTTTATAAAAAAAATGAAATGAGTTTTATACCTTAGGAATTGAGGGGTAGCTAACTGAGATTACACTAGTGGCTACAAGTTCCACAATACGTTGATGCAATATATATAACCAACTTATTAACCCATTTACATTGAGAGGAAATTGGTGGTTCATGTCAGATTATATTTCTAGTTTACAGCCAACTCAAACCGCCCACCGCCGCCGGCACATTATGAAATATAATTATTTATGTTAACTCACACAATATCTGATTTTAAGATTGGAATAAAGTTTGTTAAAGAAGTTTACAGCTTGTGCAGGGAAATTAAATTTTGTTGAGTGGAAAAGTTGACGCAATGCAACTCCTGTGGCTCAAGTTTGCAGGGAACAGGTATGAGCGCCTAAGAATGAAGGCAGTTAAGGTGTTTAAGTAGATGGAGATTTAGAATAAAGCAGAATAACGCAATACATTTGGAAAATGTCGAGAGTGGTTTATGGATGAAGTTGTTGCTCATGGGGCATGATTTAATCGTAGCTGGATGGTGGACAGGACCACATTGGTGTATACAAGAGAGCTTTGAGAGGAGATTTTCAGATGTTGTGTTGCAGCTCAATTACTATGATCGGTTTAGAAAGTTAAAAAAAAAAAAAGTTAGGGCGCATGGCATGATGAGTATGGTCTAGAAAATTTTTCTCCTAGACATGGCTTTTGCCTTTGGTTGCTAGCTCATAACAGGTTGAAGACTAAGGAGTTACTAAGACAAGGGTATGCACATTGCTATCAACTTCTGCTTCATATATGAAGTTCTTTTATGCATGCACTACATTCAACAGTCATATTTTTTTCCTGAGAGAGTATGATCTACAGTGAAGTCAATAGAAAAGGTTAAAAGATCAACTAAATTAGAAGGATGACATGTACCATCTTCAACCCATAGAAGTAGCATGATGAGATAATGAATAAAACTTAATTCAAGACTAAACAACAACATCATATTAGGGTAATCTCTAACCAATATAATGCTGTAAACAATTACACTACATGAATTACACCACATGAATTTTATTAATAAAATGAAAATGTTTAACAAAAGAAAAATGTTTCTGTAAAGGTGAAACCTAGGTAAAATTTCCTATAAACAATGATGTTAATGCATTGCATGCAAACGAAAGTATAAATGTCAAAATCATATTACATATTTATGACTATTAATGCCAACTTTAGTTTACATGGTTAACTGCCTTCTAGAATTGCAAAATCAAAACTTAAGCATTTTCACCCACACTGCACATAATGGATACCAAGGAGTTTTTGTTACTGAAGAATATGATGGGGTTAGTTGACCTCTTTACACTTTGAGTAAAGCAAGAGAGTGCAAAGAAAGCAGCTAAATCCACTGCAAAAGAAGTACACTATGGAGGTAAGCAAGCATGTTGGACAGGCTTGTGAGCTGAAGTAGTTGTACATGTTAAAGAGTTCCCTTATGATTTTGGCCAAAAATAGTACATGGCTGAAGTGGGCCCAGAAGGAAAGGTTGATATGAATAAAAACATGTAGATACATCCAGCAAGACATATAATCTTGCCAAGTCTTAGGAGGATGACAAGGTTAATTGGTTATGTTCCTACCTTTCAGCATTTCTGCATAAAACAGGTATTCTCTTGAGACTTGAACCCATGCACTTTCTCTGGTCACATTTCAAATCACAGTATATAGTCTCTCTGAGCACATTATTAATTCATCTGGAAAAAGGTAAAAAAATCTCTGAGCACATACATGATGATTAATAAATAGGTTAAGGACATCTTTTACTAGAATTTCAATCTTAATGGTGACACCTTTTGACCATTACCCCTGCCCTCCAGCCCCATGTGAATATATATTTTTTCATTTGCCAAAGTGGAATAGTAACAAAAGTTGAATTGAATGAATACTGGAGTAAACGTTGTAAAGTTCTGGCCAGTTCAGTCTTGATGATGCTTAGAAGGAAAACTGGGGTAAAGTTTCAGAACCCACCATCTTCTGCAGCGAAGAGGTATTGAATGAAGAAAGAAACTTCTATGAGTTTAGGCAATGTAATCAAAGACAACTTTCAGAATCTTGATTTTAAGGGCTCACTAGCAGAGAAAGGGGATAGGCACAATTGCTAATGTTATGCAATTATCATCTAGGGTTATACAACTTTCACAGTATATGGTTTCTCTGAGCACATTTTAAGGACTCACTTGAATGAAATACTAACATTATTCAAAAATCAAAAGAGAACAGACAACAATACTAGATGCTATTCATAAGCTTTAGAATCGAGAAAACTTCACTAAGCTAATCCTTCTTAGGACTCCATAAATAAAAATAATCCTTCCTGGGACAAGATATAGCAATACGAAGACCTAATCAACTTTGGCCAAGAAAGAAGCTGCTCGTTTTACGGATGAACTCTTTAGACTGTGAATGAAGTCCACATCAAACTCGACTATAAGCATAACCTAACATGCTGAAATTATACTTATACACTGTTTTCTGGGATGATTATGCCTCATTTCATCAGCAAAGTAACCAATAAACTTTTAAATCCATGCCACATTCCTGGCAAGGTGATTTCATCTCTTTCTGGAAAAATATAGAGTAAGTTTTAAGATTGAGTATAAAATTTTCTGAACTATGTTTTCCCCTGGTCATCTTTTCCTTGTTGGGGGAGGAAGTTTTTGAAGCTAGACAGGCTTGAGTTATTTACAAAGAACCAAAACTAAAAATTTTAACTGCTCCCAAAAAAAAAAAAAGCAGAATCTCTTTTATCTCTAATTTTGAATTTCTGAAGCACATAGATATCATGTTGTGTGGCAATGCAGAAGGAAACATCATCTAAACATCATAGCTCTTCGCAGTACTCAACAACATAGCAGTAGCAGAATTTTCATCTCAAAATTCCTTGAACTAGAAAACAATGACATTAGTCTGGAGCTTTGGTAAAACTAGTATTACAGACTAAAACAATGTATTTTCCCTGAGAGACCATGCAGCATTGGATCGAGCTAGCAGCAACCCATTAAAGAAATGAAGAAAAGGAAAAAATTTGCACAAACCCAAATCTTGAAAGCCTCTCCTAAATAACAGTTTACCCCCAATTAACCTTTCAGTCAGTTCGAAGCAACCTAGTCCTCAAACTCGTTGACTTTAACAGACAGTCATCCTAAAAGCGAAATCTCTGACTCAGACAAATTGCATAAAGGGTCTCACCAATTGAAAAAGAAAAAGAAAAGCAGTGTAAATGGGTAACACTCAGTTACCTCCGGTGAATCCTCGCTTCGCCTCGGCATCCAGGTTTCTCTCTGAATAATTCCTCTCTATCTCTACTTTCTCCACTTTCCGTAGTCTATTTAGTCAGTTCTAGCGGAATTAATTATTGCAGAGCTTTTACGCAAAAGGAGATAGGAGATCTCAGAGCACTGTTCTTGTCCATGGCTGGCCAGTCACAGAGCGACGGTCGATACTTATCTCCCTCTATCTTTCAGGTTCGTTTTCAGTGACCCATTTGATTTCTTCTTCCTTGTTTCATTCCAATTGCGTCCATTGATGCTTTTTCGTTTCCCTATGATTCGGGTCCAGGCATACTTTGGACTGAGAGGGGCTCTTGGGGAAAGACTCTTTGATTTGGTTACCCAGCAAAGGAAAGACCAGAAATTGACCTTTGAAGACCTCGTAATTGCTAAGGTAATGTTTCTTTTGGATTTGATTTATGGGGATTCGACTCTGGTGTATTAGTCACTCATAGAAATGCACATATATGATGTGCAGCTTGTAAATGTTAATGGTCGTTACTTGTTATGACTCTCGTGGTGACACCCAGTTGGTGCATTTGCTTCTTTTTGCATATTGCAGGGGACTTATGAGAAAGGAACAAATGATGAGATTGAAGAGTTTGTTTGTCAATTATCTGATGTCACAGGTGATGGTGCTTTGGGGAGATATGAAAGTAATCACTTAATGTACATAGGCTTTGGTGTTGTTGGGTCCTTTAAAGTAACTGCCATCTTTGCAGTTAATTGCAACATGTTAATTTTGTACTTTGCACAATTTGTCATGATTTTGAGTTGAACTACTTGTATTGATTTTGCATGCAAGTTTGCTTCTTTTCTGTTCAATTAATGAAAAGGAATTGTAAAATGCCCTTGTCATGAATGAAAAGATTAAGTAAATGTCATATGAGGAGAAAAAAGGGTTCAGTACCTGAGATGCAGTTGGGTGGTGGAATATTTGTTATGTTTATCAATTACCCTGCTAACAATTTCGTGTACAACCTTTGGAAGTTCCTGGTCTTTTTTTTTTCTTTTTTTCTTTTTTTTCCTTTTCTTTGTTAGAAAACTTCTTATTATTCTCACTTACGTATTTATTTTTTGATATCAGGTCTGACATAGAATCTGTTCTAGTTACGATATTTGATGACATATTCAATGTGAGAAGTTCTGAACCTGGATCAAGTTCCCAAAGGGGCAGGGTGGACATATTTCTTAATGCTGCAACCTTCTCAAGGAGTGATGAAAGATGCAATGATAGAAGTATGTCTTTTGAAGATTTCAGAAAGTTGGTGTACGCTCATCCCATCTCTGAAAAAGTTTCTTGGAAGCCTACTGATTCTATCTGATCCAGGTTCTTTATGCTTCTCTCTTTATTTATGGATTCAATTATGTTTTAACATTTCAGAATTTGGCATTACTTTACAAGAGATCATAAACTAAAGTGTAGTAATTTGGTCCAATCCTGATTCACTTAGGAAACATATTTTTCTCCATATGTTATAACAATGAATTATGTACCGAAAATTCACTTGATTGTTGTTATCTTGTTAAAGCAGGCAGATATAATAATATTTTTAATGACCCCAACTTAATTTCTGGACCAAATGCTGAACACAGAGCTTTCTGTAGGGCGACCTGGATGTCAAGTTCCTAAATTGCTGCATTTAGAGAATGTTGATTCTAGTATGTTGTTGCTGAGAAAGGAGTATGCTTGACATATAGGAGGAGCTCTTTCCCAACAAGAGCTAGAGGAATGGAAACTTTTGTATCATAGTACTTTAAATGGCTTAAGTTTCAATACATTTTTGGGCAGCATAACGTAAGCAGCTTGCCTCTTTTATGCAACTTTTCTAGCTATAAATATTTGTTAGTTTTCTTTGCATGATTCTGTAAGTCTCTGTAAGTTATGGCATTGCTTATTGGTGAATTTCTTCTCAATTTAAATCTGGACCTGAAAATATGTCAATGCATTCCATTCTATTCAGAACTTATTGTGATTGTCGTGTGATTGTCCTGAGCTTGCCCTACATTTTCATTGCTAATAAACTCCATTGTTCAATGATATGCTAAATGGTTTTTGCTACACCTCCCACTGCTGCACTGCTGCCTTAGTTTTAGGTACATGGGTTGCATTTGTTGTCTACACTATTATATAAAGTCATCTTCTTATTTCACCAACTCTGCAGCTTTGATTTTATTTTTCAAATGAGTTAACTCTTACCATCGTAATCAAAAGCTTCTCTTTTCTTTTTGGCAAGTAATAACTAGAAAATTTCATTAATACATCTCCACAAGTATGTAAATGAGTGGCACAGGTTGCCCTTGAATAAAATGGTGATAGCATTTCACAGGATATATATGCTTTTGTTTTTCCTTTGATTCTTTTCATTGTTTTTTCAAGAAAGTGTAAATGCTGAGTCCTTGCTAATTTTATTTCAGTTTCTCTTTCTGGACTACTTTTTAACTAGGAGAGGAATGGATAATTGTTCAATTGAACTGCAGAAATGATAATGGGCCAACTGCTGTGATTATTAAGGATAATGAAGGTTATATATATGGGGGTTATGCTTCGCAGCCTTGGGAGAGGCATAGTGATTTCTATGGAGATATGAAGTCTCCTCTTTCAGCTCCATCCAAAGGCATCTATATTCAGACCAACTGGGGCCAACAATAATTTACAATGGGTATGTTTCTACTTGCTTTCCTAGTTTGCTGAAACAAATGTGCTTTGAATTGTTTGTTTGTTTGATTCCACTGAATGGTCCTAACACTTTTGATGCCACGAATGGAATTTCTTTCTTTATTTAGCTTGCTGTGATTAGTAAAGCCCTGTAGGAAAGATTTATGATATCATTCACTTGGTGCTGTAGGTAGTCAGTTGGATATTTGTATATCAACAGTGTTTTGCAAAGACATCTGCAAATGTTAAGCTCTGTTATAACTAGAAGTGTACTGTAAAATGGATCGTTGCTTATTTGATAGGTCTTAGTGGAAAATAAATTGTTCAATCTGTGAAAGTTAATTCAAGGGTTTCTCTATCTCTTAAATCATTGATGGAAGAGGGTTTGACACTGGAATAGAAAGAAATTTAATTCTATTGTCACCTTAATTGACCATTCATACTCTTCTTTTTTTTTCCTGAAAAAGTATATTTTCTTTTGTTTCTTTTGTCTCAAGTTTCTACTTTAGTAGTTGGAAAGTAGCACCCAGTTTCCATGGTTGGCGGTATTCTATTTCCTTCTAGTGTAGACTAGCATTTCCATCCTCATTTTTATGTTTATGCATGTATTTAGTTGTATTGTCTTTATTTTTGGCCTTCAGTATTATTGTTGTTCGACTGCCTCTTGTTGTTTTGTTCAACTGACTTATGTAGCTTACAATTTCCAATTGGCAGTGTGCTGTGAGTTTCAGTTCAGAGGCCATTCCAAATGGCATTGGGTTTGGAGGGTGAGTTAATCACTTTGGCCTGTTCGTCTCAGCAGGCCTTGATCAGGGACACACTTTCTCTTGCACAACATTCAACAGCCCTTGCCTTTCAAAGAACAGTAAAACCCGCCCAGAAGTGATAGAATGCTGGGGAGTCGTAAGGAAAGGAAAACAGGAAGAAAGACAAGATGCTCTCAAAGGTACTGTGTTAGAAAGGTTTAAGGAGGACTGGAATATGCTCAATATGGTAGGGATTGCAAATGCTAGCGAGTAAATGTGTTCATCTTTGGCCTGCACCTTCGGATGGGGCTTCAACATTTAGATCAGTGCTAAAGGTTAGAAGTCCTGTTCAATGTATGTCTAGTTCAAGGAAAATTGTGCTTATCCCGAGTTCCTGGTTCCTCAATCAAACAGAACTTTATTTATTTATTTATTTTATCAGTATAATCCCTAAGAATGCAAGTGTATCATGTAGACGCCAAATCCTCTCCTCCAACTACAAAAATTTACTGGTGGTTTGAAATAGGAAATTACAGCAGTGTTTATGAGGATCCATACACTAATCTACTCATCTCACAGAAATACTTTTATGCCTCTTTCTTTAGCTAGCAGTAGTAATTATAATGTTTCTCTATTCCTTGCAAAGATATATCAAATAATATTGAATCATTTAACTCTTCCACTGCTCCTCTGTTGCATAAGTTTCAATGCATTCGTGGGCAGCATAATGTAAGTAGCTCGCCTCTTTAATGCAACATTTAGATTTGTGATATCATTCACTTGATACTAATAAGTTTGGCCAAATTAGTATCCACTAATTTAAAAGTCTTAATTTGAGGTTAAGATCTAAGATTTAAATTTTTATAATATTAAACAATTAACTTTTTGATTTAACATACATATATATATATATAAAAGAGATATCATTCTTCATTCAATTGATGCAGCAAGTGGTTATAATAGAATAATTGTTCAAACCTTGAAAGTTGATTTAAGAATATCTTGCGTTTGAGTTTTTTTATAGTTGATCAAATATGTTTTACATTTATTCTTTTTAAATCATTTATGAAAGTGCATTCAGCATTGGAATAAAATAAATTTAAATTTTTGTTCTTTTTATTTTATCTGAAAAAGGTTTCTTTCACCTCAAGTTTCTACTTTGGTGTTGGAATATAGCAGCATAGTAACATCTCTCTCGAACTTTTCAGCACCTCCTTCACCTCAGCTTCTCCTTTGGACTTTGTTGCCTCAAAGGATTTGGAGGTTCAGCAACATCAAGGTTGCATCTAACGTAGACTTTATCTAAAAAGCGCTGGCATTTCTATCAACTACGTACCTTTGTGTATTCTTCCATCTTCTACACCTTCCTGGGGCTTAGGATTTGGCTACTTAGTCAACAGAGTAATTTGATGCGATGCACTGAGTACCCTGTTAGTCCACAGTGAATTACTATTTATATCTCAATGGCACAATCCCAGAACGATAGCCATCACTCTTTTACTGACGGTAAGATGGGAGCAAAACTAGTTTCAATATGATGGAAGCATGTCGACATGACTATTATATAACCCTCCTTCACTCGGTCCAATAATATAACAATTGTAGTAGACAAGTAATTTGGTAGGCAAGCCAAAAATCATGTTCAAAAATTGACACAGAAAACTCTCTTTGATTTTATTTAGAACACCGAATTATATTCAAAAATGAATTTAGAAATCTTTTTTATTCAAGTTCAACTAATCTCCACGTATAATTAAACTATTTGCATGGCAAGATTTGCCAGTTTGTTGATCAATTTTATATATCCTATTTTAAATTGTGGCCTAAAAGATCTTTTATCATGTGGGTTGTGGGGATTCATAGTTTGTGGAGTGGTGTGTATTTGGAGATGACTACCTGCACATAGTCGACGCGCGGGAGGTGTGTGGCTTAAGAGAGTCAATATCGTATCAACATGTGTATTGATTTTGTTACTGAAACGGTACGTATCGGATATCAGAATTTTTTGCACACCGTTTCAAATTTATCGCTGTAAATATATATTTTTATAAATTAAATATCAAATTTTAAAATAAGATGAGAGATATTAATATTTAAAACCATCATATTTCTATAAATTGAAAGCAAGTTTAAAATGATCATTTTTAGTCTCTCAACTTCTAACATATGCATATTTTTTGTCCATTCACTTTAAATTAAGGGACTAAAAATGTGTATATTTAGACAAATTTAACAAAATAATTAATATAAGGAATAAAAAAATATGAAAAATGGACTAAAAAAGTACATAAAAAAGTTAAAGGATGAAAGTTATGTAAAACATTAAGTTTGAGAACCAAAATGACATTTACTCTTTTTAGATTTGAATTGAGTTATACGAACAATTTTCGTGTACCGGCAAAAATTGCAATTGCAAGAAACCCCTAGCCCAAAACGACATCGTTTTGGGCTAGGGAATCTTTTTTTTTTTTTAATTTGTCAGTGTGTATTGGTCGAAATTTTGGTGAATCGGTCAGTATACTAAAATTTCGATCAGTATATCAGATTTTGACCGAATTAACCAAATTTTGATCAAAATATATTTTCATATTATATCATTTTGATCAATACCAAAAATTGATACGTACCGATCGTATCAATCGGTACAATACCAAATTTACTTCTTTGGGTGGCTACGTACACGTGGTACAATGGATTTGCAATAGATTTTGTGCAGCCTTTGAATCAGAAGCCCTATTTTAAGATTTTATGTTGATATAAAATATGTTTGAAGCACTCTTTATATCTTTTTAATAATATTTTATTTACTGAAAAACAAAAAACCGACAATAAAAAAAATTAAAGTAGAATTTAGCACTTTAAAGTTTGAAATCTTAAAAATATATATATATCCACCAAATGTTTATTACATCCGAAGCAAATACATAAGTATAATCAATCAACCAACCATAACCAACAGTCAAAGCATAGGGAGATATCTAGGACTACAATCATTTATTCAAAGCAACATGCGTATATTTAAAAAAAAAATCATTTATTTAAAGTGCCCGAAGCCCCACAGCCACAAACCGACCAAGCCTGTTGTCATTCCGCTCATCCAGGATGTTTCTCTCCTACCAAAAATGTTTGGCTGAAGAGTCAAACAAAAAATGTCAACCAGAAGAGGAAATTGCAAGTGCACGAACCATTTGATAGGAATACCAGCAACCAGAGTTATAGGAATGGCTACCACCAATCGACCTTCTAGCATGATGAAAAGAGCAGCACAAAATGCTATGGTCATTGTTGCAATAGAGATGAAGAGAAAAGTAAGGCCCCAAATCACGAGGGAATATTTGCGGTAATCTTCAGCAGCATGATGTGCAGTAAGAATCCCCAAAAATATTATCACTGAACTGGATGCAGCAAAAAGAGAAAGTGCATCTGATACCATAAATATCATAAACGGAGTCGGAGTTTTGTGCGAAAGTATGGGAAAACCTGTACTTTGATCATTCCCACCAGGAACAGTAAAAGCCATTGCAAACATAATTGTAATAATAAGAGCACCAACAACTGTAGAAGATTCTGCTGTTTTCTTCCCCCATTCCTCTGCTTCTTTTAGCAAATCCTTGTGTTCTCTATCAAATACTTCCAGAGGAGTTTCCCCGTTGTTGTTTTTGTGTTCGTGGTAAGATCGTGGAACAATTTCTCCTACCCCCTACGGTGTTTCATAATATATGCAATAAAGAATTATATAAGATTTCTCAATACTTAATTAGAAAAAACAAATAAAAATAAAAAATTACCTTGAACCAACGTAGCTCACTTTGCAACCGAAAAGCTGAACCAGAGATGCGACCTAATTGATAAGAAGGGGCTAACTTTGCTGTTATATGTAATATATTATTTCCATCTTTATCTATGGTAATAACCATGTTTGCATCCTCCTTTGCAAATTCATAAAGAAGGCGTGCCACCTCCTCTTGACGATGTGCTACAGCCCAAGCAAACGTGTTTCTTGACTCTTTAAGATTTAAGCTTCTCCACAAAATATTTTTATTAGCTTTTGTAATTTCTTTCACAATGACTGGGATGTCGTTCTTGATAGCCTGGAAGATTGCGTCCACTGCTCTACTTTGGACAAGAAGGTTCTCATCTAATTCTGAATCTGATAATGGCTGACATATTAAAGATATAACCTCACAGGCATACTCATCCATCAACTTTCCAGCATATACATTCGTTGCTAATAACAAAAGAGGAAGAAAAATAACTTTAGTGTAAAGAAGAATCAAGATACAGAACAAAAATGAAGAAAAGAAAAGGGCTCATTGAGTAGACGTAGTATAATTTCTTACCAAGGATCCTTGAGAGCAATGAAACCAGTAGGCGTAGAGCCACTACAATGAATGAGTATATATTTAGGATCAGAAAGAATGAGTTTCATATTTGCAATTTATTGCCTTTATAACCGTTAGGTAAAATATGTATGCTCATTGAGTGGATGCTGTTGCTTATTGCTTACAAACGATCGGTATACCAAGGGCCACAAGCATCAGTAGCATTTCAACCGTGATTCCGACTGCAAACCCTGCGGTGAATGAGTTATGTTTAAGATTATAAACAATGAGAGTTTCATAACTACAATAATTGATTCTCTTTCCATGATCTTTAGTGAAAAAAATTGCCTTTAACTACAAGAATAAAGATAAAATGACCTTGATCCAAAGTATAAACACCAAAATGAATAACATATACATTCATCAATAAACTTTGCTGCTGAAGACATAACATTAAAATAAATTAAGGGAATAAAAGTCTCATCGAATGGACATTATTGCTTACCAATTAAAGAAAGTGATATCGCAAGTGGTAACCCTACAGTAAGTAAGTAATATTTAAAATTCTGAAGGAATGAATTTTATAAATAAAATTAACATAAATGAAAAAAAAAAAAGAAAAAGAAAAAAAGCTAATTGAGTGAATGTTACCGCTTACCAATAACGACCAATGCCACTTGTACTAATAGAATTACTACAATGATTGAATTATATTCATTGATAAGAAGGAATGAAGTCGTAACTACAATAATTAATTACATACTTTTTCCATCATCTTTAGTCAAAAAGATTGCCTTTAACTCAGCATACATGGGAAGCAAAAAAGAATTGAATCCAAATTATAATATAAAAAGCAAGAATTAATCATTATGAAACTCAAATAAGAATCAAGATACAGCACAAAAAAGAAGGCATACAACTTATTCTGCAAAAATATGTATGCTGATTAAAAATAAGAATCCAAATAAATTTTCTATGTTGGTTAAAAAAAGAATATAGATTTGCTATATTATTTCTACAAACAAGAATCAAGATATAAAACAGAAAAGAAAAAAAAAGGAAAAGAAAAAGACTCATATATAAATTAAAAAACCATTTTGTATATAGTATCTTTGTAGTGAATTAATAAAATTCAAAATAAATAAATTATTAATAAGTTCATATGTAGATGCAATAAGCACTTGCGGTGCTCACTACACTAGCAATGTGCATTATATAGACCTTGGCAAGTTTCGAATCCCAACTTTGTATGAATAATTCCCCATCCCTAATTTCCAATTACCTTTTAACTTATAACATATGAACAAAAAATGACTTTTACCAAATTATAGGGAAAAGCAATAACTCCAAAGAGCAACTTTTGTGCCAGGCATCTACCCAACAAATTCCACAAAGTCATTCGAGAAAATTGCAAATATTAAAAGAATATATACCGCACTTGGCTATAAATGGTAATTCTTGAATATCTCCATTCGTTTCTTGATTCGTCTGTTCAATCTCTTGAACGGTCTGTTGATTCTCTAGATTCGTCTCTTCAGTCTCTTGAATCATCTGTTGATTCTTTTGATTCGTCTCTTCATTTTCTTGAATCCGCGGTTGCATGCAGTCTAGAATCTCTTGACCCATCAGTTGAAACGTCTCTGAACATGACCTAAGGCGTTGTTGGATCCCCTCTGTAAATGGCTGGAAAAAGTCTTGCATCTTCTCTACACATGATCGATGCTTATCTTTTTTGATGACGTGGGCCTTCACGCTCATGCCTTGAATTACAATTTCAATCGATAAAGAGAGCATTTAATAGATTAAATTAATCAAGAAGAACAAACTGACAAAAAAAAAAAAAAGATAGAAAGAAAGAAAGATGGAAAAAAAAAAATAAAAAACCCCAAATAGGTTACGAGGGTTGTGAGGAATTTAAAATTAAATTTGTTTCTAGCCAAATAATTATTAAATATATTAACAGAAGCAATACTGGCAATTATATGTCCACCGTCCTCAAAATGAAAGGTTACTTTTGCTGAAGAATGGGGGTGGTGTTTGAGCCAGTGTAGAAATGAGTCCCAAACGATAACCACAATCTGCTAACTTTGAAAAATTGTGGAGTAGATCGAATGCAATATCTAATATCAAAGTTGGTTAGAAAAAATAAAATAACAAAATAATATAAATTGATGGCAAAAAAAATTAAGATATCTCAATAATTAAATTTTCAAGAGTAATAATAAGAATATTTAAATATACTTAATAAAGTAACAAATTTGATGAGTCAACTCTTAAAGAAAATTTATTAAGCATATTTAAATAATTTTATAGATAATTTTAATATTTTAAATATTAAGATATTTTTATTTTAGTTTTTATATAATATATTTCTTTCATTTATTTTTAGTAGATTTAATTTAAGTTTTTTACTTTTAAAACATAAATTTTGAATAAAAATTTAATATCATATATGAACAATAATTAAAAATTTTATTTTTCCTATATGTAATTTTTGTTGATTATTTTTACTTAATAAAAAAAATTTAATTATTATTTATATAATATCTTTAATTTTTATTTAAAAAATTATATTTTAAAAATTAAAAAATCAAATTGCATCTATCCAAAATAAAGAAAGTGAGTACTAAGGAGACAAAGAATTAATTAATGTTAAGAGTTCTTACCAAACATTTTTCTGATTAAACACTCGTGGAGGATGTAGGCGCTTGTGTCTACATTTAGAGACTCTAGAGGAGTCTCAAGATACAGATAGTGTATCAGGTCTTCCTGAATTGTGCTGCAGGCCAATTCAACTGGGATCTTTCCATCTTCGTCTGGGATGGTAAGCAAGTTATCGTTCTTTCTAACTAAACTTTGTACAATTGATATCTCGACTCCGTAACAAGCAGCAATGGAAAGAGCCGTGCTCCCAGAATCATCTTTTGTTTCTAAGTCTTGTTTTGACAACTTGTACTTGATCAAGTAATCAACAATTTTGCTCTTCCCATTATAAACTGCAAAATGAAGAGCTGTGTACCCATTTTCAAATATTCTTGCAGATCTTGGATTCGAATTTTCTCCAAAGAATTTCCGTACTTGCCCAAGGTCCCCATTGGAAATGGCATTAGTTAAGGTCTCATATAGCGAATCTGTGAGATTTCCAGGGCCTGCATGCCAATGACAGTTGTATCCACAATAAAATCAACACTCTCACCAATTCTTTTTTGTATTTCAAAGATTAAAACAAACATTACAGATAAATTTGTTAACCAGCAAATCTGAACCTATAACTTAAAAAAACTCAAACCGTACTGCAATCTCTCCAATTATCAGATGCGAAAAAGAAAAAGAAATTAAAACAGAGATTGAATAGAATAAAACCTGTTCGCTTTTCTGGGGGGTGCTCAACAATGTCCTGATCTGCGTGTTTATGCATATTAGCCAATAAAGACCAAACATCTTTAGCAGAATTCATCTCCTTTATTTGATCAAACATTTCTTCTCCACACGAAATCTTAATGGCATACAGAGCTAAAGCATTCTTTTTAATCCATTCTCTCCCCATATTTCTTTCTGCAGGCAACTGGCTTAATTCAACGACATCCCCAAGATCTTGACTCTCTAAATAGTGCTGCATGAAAATGCTCCACCTTTTGTAGTTATTTCTTTTAAGAACTTCAGGTACAATCACACTTGCATGTGGAGCAACTATTTCCATCTTCGCGCCTATGAAATATTTAATCCCATAAAACAATTTCTGTTAGGGTCAGCATATAAACATGAGATAGTTGAATCATATTGACTATATATATATATATATATACTTACATAGGATTAACGAGATGCGTGTGCTTCCCCAAGCGGCACCCTCGAGCGAGTCCTAACGAAACTCAAGCTGCCAGTTTAATTTTCAAAACTCAAGTGAAAGTGATTTGATCATATCAATTAGGCGCTATATATAGTTATAGATCATCAATAAGCTCTATTAGAAAAAGAAGAGTAGAGCTAGAGAGCAAGATGAATCATCATCTGTTGTGATTTGGGATTTGTGTCCATGCTTAAAATTATTTTATTATTAAATAATATAAAAAAATATAATTACAATATTATATAAGTTAGTAATTGATATGCATTCTTAAAACATTAGTATAAATACTTTTAATTTAATATATTTCATAATATATTTATTAAAAAATTATTATTTTTAAATTTAAATTAAAAACAAAAAAATTTAAAACTGCAAATTTTAATAATTAAATTATTAAATATTAATAGTTATGTTGAATAAAGGTATATTAATCATTTCTTAAAATAAAATAAAACTAAAGCTGGTTATTCCTTTCTTCGTATGATTACTTGCTGGAAAATATAAGTATTAACTCTTACAAAAGGCGGTTGTTGGGCAATGGTTGTTTCGAATTTCTTTGATAATTAATACATATTTTAATTTAATATATTATATAAAATATTTATTAAAATATTATTTTTTATTTAAAATAAAAAATAAATAAATTTAAAAATATAATTGTATATATAATATATAAAAATTAAATATACATATATTATATTTTAATAATTAAACTAAATAAATATCAAAAAATATGTTACACAGAAGAGTGGGACAATCATTTTTCTTCTAACTTAATTGCTGCTAGGCAATGACTCATCAAAATATTTCCAGCTTATCCATGACTCATCAAAATCCAATCTAACTTCTTTTTTATTTGTTAGAGGTGTCTTTTAACCTCTGCATTTTGACTTAAAAAGACTTAAATTATGAGAAGATATTATCTTTAAGAATTTTCTCCACGAGAGTTCCCTTCACCCTGCCCTTTCTATTATGATGAGAGGACAAAACCATACATTCCTTCCCTGCTTTGTTAAAGATGAAATCTCTCCTTTTATTTTCGAATAAAGTAAAATAAAAATAAAGTTTTTTATTCTTTGCTTTGTATGATAACATATCAATAGTTACTTATTAAATTTTAGGATGAAGGCGCAAGGATGACTTAAGGCCGAAGACTGAAAAAGGACTGCAACAGGACTGGAAGTTAAAAGCGTAAGGTGAACAATCTTTCTTTTGCTAAATATAATTTCAAATTCTAAGGATATATCAATCTGATCTTTTCTAAATTTCACCCGATCTTATCTTTACTAATTAACCTTTCACTGTTCAAAAATTTTTCCCCGATTCATTCTCTCTACTTTCTCTTTCTCCTGAGATTCAGTAAAACAAGGAGACAGAGAAGATAAGAAGATCATCGGGGAGTGGCTAGGAGTGGAGAGGTCGGAGGTCAGGCGGTTAGGGAATGAATCAGAGTTCAATTGCACTCAATAGACAAGGGAAGGTAGACTAGGGAGTGGGGAGGTCAGAGTTCAGGCGACTAGGGAAATGAATCAGAGTTCAATGTACTCAATAGACAAGGGAAGGTAGATCTGGTGTCCATTATAGATGTAGAAAAGAGGTGCAGAGAATGAGAAACTCGATTAACAGGGAATGGTTCTCTCATCTAGTTGTAAGCGAGAAAAAGAAGGGGAAAGAAAGAGAGGTATAAATGATTGGTGAGTGTTCTGCGATTCACCCCTAGATATGGCCTACCTTCCACATTTTGAAGCCAGATCTTGGCCAAGCTTTCACACTTCGCAGACTGAGCTCTCCTCCAACACCGATTCTCTTAGCATCAGATTATTTGGCTGTCACTTTCTCCGATCTCCACACCAATGCAGGCCTCAAGTCACTCGATCAGTTCCTCGGCGGGAAAAACTTACATCTCTGGGTATACGTTCTCTCTTTTCCTTTGATTTTCAGCAGCAATTACTCTTTTTATTTCGAAAATCAAAATTTAAAGTATTCATCTTCACAAGGATAAATTGTCCAAGGATGATATAAAAGTCTCTGTGGTTGTTTTCTGGAAACCTAGCAATTCCTTCTCCAATGTGAGCGAGTGTTATGAGTCTGTTTATTCACATCTTGCCAAGACGGACTCAATTCTTCATCCTTTTTATATTCTTTTTTTTTCCCCTTTTTCATATTGGTTTTAATGAAATATGTAATTCCTAATAGTTTGATTGTATCTAATAGTTAGAATGCTTAATTTGGTCGTTTCCTTGAACACTTTCCTCTTTTATGAACATCCAAAAAATTTTTGTTTGATTTTATTTGTTGCAAAAGAATGGTTAACATTTCCTTTTTTTTTTTCTTTTTTTTTTTTAAGTATGGCTGCTTGGAATACAATATCCTTTGACTGCTAATTTGCTATCTGACTATGCTTCAATCATGTTCCAAGTCTCAATTTGTCCTGTCTCCATTACAAAACCATAAGAGGATGTCGTTCATTTAACTTTTTAGGTTTTATTTCCCATTTTGTTTTGAGTAGGGGACTTTCATTTTCTTCCTATAATGTTGTTCTTTGTAGAACTGATAGATGGTTTATTTTCAAATTATGTTCAAATATTTTGGGAGAAGGGATTCAGACTTGAGACCCTTTTCGAAGAGAGGTGTGGTTGTCATTGGACTATTACCTTGACCATTTTCAGATATCACTGATAATGTTGATGATAAAGCCTTTTATTAATCTCTTGTTACAGTATTTTTGTTGTCTGTGGCTCAAGGACACAATCCAGGGAAAGGGAAGATTTGATGAAGAATCTTTTATAGCAGAAGAAGGTTTGGTTTGAGTGAGGAAGCTGTAAATGGAAGAAGTCTATGGGAAGCTGAAGCTTCTAATGTGGAACTGCCTTGCCATTTGGGCAAATTCCAGGTAAAGGAGATAAGGACCGAATTCATACTTTATTACATTGATTTTTCTTTAAGTTGTAGGATTTGAATTTCTGAATTTATGATGGGATAGGTTTTTCTAGCTGAATTTTCTTTAGAATTCAAAATTTAGTTCAAAGTGTTTGAACTTAATGAATTATCAATTGATCTGATTTTATTTTTGAATTATAGAAACTGTTTATCATTTGAGCAGTGTCTTGAATAACTTGAGCCTGTGTTGGACGTCGAAGGATATAAAAGTATTCTTAATTCAAAAGGCAATGAAGAAGCCTTGGTGGGTAAAAAGCTTTATTTTTCTTAAGTTGTTGATCTCCTGCTTTGATGGAGTTCTCTCTCTCTCTTCTTTTTTCTTTTCATTGTCTGAATCTGATATGCAGCGGAATGAGGCGAAGCTGTCTGCTGTTGGAACCAGTGCATCTCTGGTAGGTCAACACATCAAATTGTTGTTTGAAAGCATTTTTCTTCAGAGTTCATAACTTTTATAGAGAATAGGGAAAGTGAGATATATGATAGATGATTGATAAAAGCGGTCACCATATGGTTTCTACTTCATTGATTGGAACCCTCTTTAGATTGGTGTAGGTGTGATTAATGCATTGATTAATCTATTAAAGGCATTTGATCAATCTTTTGCTTGTGAAGGAAAGAATGTACCTATATTGTCAACAAGTGTTGCTTATGGTGTTTACACCGCTGTCTCTAGCAACCTCGGGTGATCAATATTGTTTGCAGCATATTATTTGTTTCTGGAAGTAATATTCCTATCTTCTCTTTGTCCACAATTGAATTCAGGACACTTGATACACATTTCGATTTAATATATAATATAATATATTTATTAAAAAATTACTAATTTTTGATTTAAAATTAAATGAAATATGTATAAAAGATATAAGAACAGTTAAATCAAATTATAATTATATTATATTTTAATAATTAAATTAAATGAGTGTTAAAAAAATGTGTTGAATTTAGTGTGTATAAATTATTTTTCTTGAATTTAATAAGTATATTGACTAATTAAATCAATATCTACTACTATATGTTTTTGGCTTAGTGTAGTGTAATATATGCAAATAATATATAATGCAAGAATAGGTTAAATTAATTATATTTATATTATATTTTAATAATTAAAAATGACATCAATTTCCCTTGTAACATTACTTAATTTTATATTGTACAATATTACACATAGTATGATGTGGTTTTCAAAAAGTATATTGACTAAATAAGATGGGCTAGGGACTCCATCAAGTGGCCCGATAAGCTGCGCGCTTCATTGAAAGATGTGGGATGTTCATCAAATCTGGAAGTCGAATTTCTCAATTGTTAACAGTTAATAAAATTAACCTATTAATCATTGCTTTTGCTTTTACCTTTGTTAAAAAAAAAAAATAGAAATTTATTCTTAAAAAAATCTAATTTATTTGGCCATTCCAAATAAGTACCATGCACCTACAAATTTGCCCCCCCAGGTTAAAGTTAACAATATCTGCCATTACTATTAGTCGTCAGAAAGTAGTAATATATTACTGTTTTTTATTTTTCTTCTATCTCAAGTTTCTAGTTTAATAGTAATTGGAAGGTCGCGCCGCCGATGGTTCCCACAGAGGTAGGGGTGGCTTTGTTAACTCGGTCCTAACTAGACTTGCAAAAATGGTTTCGGCAGGGTTTACACATTTTAATCGGAGTTGTTTTATAATCTATAAATAAAATTTTTATTGTAGCTTTTATTTTTAATAAAT